GATTTTCATAGTATGTCCGGTGAACCAAACTCGTCCGCAGACGCGCCTTGCTCGGGCCTCTAAAAATGCATGTGTACACTTGCTCGGCCCCGAACTATTACCATAAAAGTATGAAAAACCCATGAAGCCCTCTCGCATAAAAATCTCCAAAGTCATGAAAATCACATTCCATAAAATATTTTCAATTGTTATTGGAAAACCATGATATAAAACATATTTTCATGACTTTACAACATCTTTCACGAAATTAGACATGCATATGTATTTTATTGAAAATGCATAAGCATTATTGCTTCATGAAATGCATGCCATAAGTGTGATGCATTTATGCCATGATATTGTATAATTTAACAAAATAAATGCACCATAAACATTATCTTAATAAAATCATTCCAAACCATTAAAACATCAACACCATCCCACCATATAAAACAACACAAATTTCATAACCATTAACATTATGAATCCATACAATATACACATATCAAACGCATGAAATAGCATTCACATAATTCAATTACACAATAATTACGTAAATCAAATCATAAACCCTAATATTTTTTAACTTGGGTCGATGGTAACCCTAATTTAATCCAAGCATTTTCTTACAATTTAGACATCAATTTCTCACCCAATTTCATTTAATTAAACCTTAACATTAAGAATTAAATCAATTTGACATTTATTGACTAATTATATGCGTAAACTTTAAGTTGGGCCTTATTGAGCCTAAACCATAGTTTAGGTAATTTAGGTTAATTTTCTAATTTTGGTATCATTTCTCATTCTAACCCATCTCCTTATATTATTCTAAGTCTAATTTAGTTAATTGAAGTATTAGAACTCAATTGAACCTAAACCCTAATGTTTTCCAATTTGGGTTGAATCCCACCTTAGCCTTGACCTCATTATTTTCTTCTCATTTCATTATCAACTTCTAACACTAGGTCATTTAATTACACATTAGCATTAGTGATCAATTTAATTGACATTTATAGAACAATTGGATGCATGAAACCACATTGGGCCGAAATTAGGCATAAGCTAAATTAGGCAAATTTCTTCAATTTTCTTAGAATTTTTCACTTCTACTCATCAAATTATACTCATTCAATTACTAATTAACTAACAATTCATGAATTGAATACAAGAATCAAAACCCTAAAATTTAGGGTTTTAGGCCGAATGCTACCCTAAAGAAATTCATTGAAATTTTCTTCAAATTAAATGGAATTTTTTATGCTTAAAAAATAATTCACACCTAATTAATCCATAATCAATCCATAGAACATCAATTAAAGAAAAGGACCAAAAAGCCCTAATTTACTAGTTTAGGTCAAAAGTTCACCTCTTCCTAACCCTAAAATTTTTTTATTTCTAAACTTCAATTTCAAGCTCAATTGACCTATTTCAATCCCAATTGCATAAATTTCTAGCTTAATTCCATTTTTTTTTAATTTTTCATCACTAAGAACCCTAACCCTAATTTTCAAAATTAGGGCTCAATATCACAAATTAAAGCATCCAAACCATAAATTAATATCAATTAAACTTCTTGTGGTGTAGATGAAGTTAAATTACTCGATTAAGTTCTAACCTCAAAAGGTTGGATGATTTGAAAAATTCCTTCCTCCCTTTTCCTCTACCAATTCAGACCTAAACCTTGATTTTTTTCTCTTGATAAATTTTGATCCTCTAGCTTGATTTCCTTACTTAGTTAGTTGATTTAGAGTGTTTAAAGGTGATTTGGTGGGTTTCGGGTGAAAATTCCAAAAGAAATTCTCGCAAGAGTTTTCTTTATATTTGGTGATTTTTCATGCATTTCCTTGAATTTCTTGCACACATATTTATAAGCAAATTTTGGTGGACTTTTGACCTCATCTCTATCCTTAATTTACTACAATTTGGTGTGATCCTATCCCTTAAATCACCTTTAAATCCTAGCCTTTGAAATGGATTAATCTTGGTCATTAACTCGTTTTTTTTATTTTAGCCGTCCATCTTACTTAATTCTCACCTCTTCTCTTTATCTTAGTTAAAGCTCATTTAATAACCCCTAATCATGTTGTTGGAGTTCGACTAGAAGGGTAAAAAATCTCTCAAAATTTTGCTTAATTTTGGTCTCTTATTTTACTAATTTTTTTTCTAATTACTCCATACATCCTTCAATTTTTTAATTAATTGCTTTAGTCCCTTCCTTTAAAGATATCTTAACAAATTTTTAACTCCTAAAGTTCATAGCTAATTTAATTTTAAAGTTTAAATTTTTAATTTTATGCAATTAGGTCCGTAACTCTAAATTTTATTCTATACTTTTCCCAAATTCAATTTCTCTTGATAGTAAATTCAAAAAAAAAATTTAAAGAATTTAATCACTATTCACATAATTTTTCTACCTTTATTTAGTTCTCCAAATTAATTATTTAGTGTGGAAATTACACTACTTTCTAAAGAAAATATTCCTTCTATGTAAAAATTTATCTAAACTTATTTAATATTTCTAAACATCCTAAATGATTTTCTACACCATTGGAATAATTTTCTTATATCTTTAAAGCACCTTAATTAATTAATTTACCTTAAAATTACTATTTATGCATAATAAAATGCAAATAAAATATTCACAAAGTATCATAAAAATTCGTCCAACAACGTAGAATAATCTAACACCCTTATAGCAAATATTTTAAGTAAACAAAACATTTTTATGCACATACAACATGCCTAAAATAATGATTTCACACAAAAATCACTATTCATGCTCTTTAAAATCAACAACATATTTGTTGAGCATAGGAAAATTATTTTAATTACTCTTAATATTCTTTCAACCTTTTGTAGATTATTCTATGCCCTCAAAATATTTTTCATATCTTTTTAATACTTTTAATTTCATTAAATTTCAGTTTAAGGGGATACCGACTATTACATCATAAAATCCTTTTCATGCCTTTGAAAACCATTTTTCTTTTCCTTTTTAGGTGCATCCTTTCCTTTATCATTTCTATAGTTGGGGCCTCCACCAAATCCCCCAACCGTTGAGGCCTTTATCGAATCCCTTAATAAAGAAATGCCTTTACCACATTCTTCAGCTTGGACCTTTACCAAATCCCCTAAACTCGTTAAGGCCTTTATCAAATCCCTCGACGAAGAAGTGGGCCAATTTCTTTAGTTGGGGCTTTCACTAAATTCTCAAACCGTTGAGGCCTTTATCAAATCCCTCAACAAAGAAATGGCAATATCATGAAAATCATGAAAACCTTATTCCTTTTCCTTTCATGAAAACCTTTTTCCCTTTTCCTTTCATCAAAATCATGAATATAAATTTCTCTTTCATGATAATAATTTGCATATACATTTTAAATGAAATGCAATGCCATGAACGTTACCTCAACATGTATACCCTTTGAAATTCCTCAAGAACATGTGCACACTTGATGTATCCAATACATTTTCTAAACATATAAGTATGCATGCAACAAGAATATACACCATGAACAATCAAATGTCATGAAAAGCATCATAATCAAATATTTTTCATACAAACATAGCCAATCATAATAAGCATCATAAATAATCATTTTGTTGTGTGAATATAACATTTTTCATACTATTTGTACCTCCGAACCTCACATTAAACCCTTGCCTCACATAAATCTATTGTTGTCCTTTGTTTCTATGTTTGACCAAATTAGGCCAAAGGAAGGGACAACTAACCTTTCATTCAATTGACCTATTAAATTTCTCTAGGTCATTCTATCAAACAATTGGTAGGCAATAAATAAGATAACTACTAATCTATATCTACCTAAGGGGTTGTTCATTCACCTTGTTTCGAGAATAAGGACAACATCCAAAAATTTGCATTCAATCAATTCAAACATTCAAACATCATCATCATCATACAACAACCATATAAACATCATCTAACCATTGCTATTTAACCATTAACACACAATTCTCACTTGTTAGCCTTTCATCATGCAATTCAAAATTTAACACTAAATCACACCTTGAAACTTACATTCTTATGGTGCGAGTGAGGAATTATACTTACCTCACTTAGAATTTGATTTATTCTCTCCCTTTCCTCCTTAGCTTCTTCTTTCCTTTTTTTTTTCCCAAAATTTTTACCAAATAGAGAAATTCATCCCTTCTCTTTTTAAGATGGTTTGGAGGCTAATTTAAGTTGCTTCTAGGTGAATTAAAGTGCTTGGGAGTTGTAGATTTGGATGGGTGAAATCTCTTTCTTTTGCCCCAAGTTTCCCTCTTTCCTTTCTCCTCTTTATTTCCTCTTTTATTATTTTCCCCCTTTTGAAATCTGGAAATCTAGATTTTTCTATCACTTTTTGACCCTTAAATTCAACAAAAGTGGTCCCTCACATTATAGACACTTTATACCTTAGTCCTCCAACTTTCAATCCTTATAATGTAATCGTATAATTTCGATCCGTAACTTCGCATTTTCCATCAATTTGGCCCTCATCTAAGCCAATCCTAAATTTAATCCAAGTCCTTAACATTTCTTCATTATTTTAATTAAGGACTTAAATTAATCTTTGAATTCATACCCTTAGGTTTTGTAATTGCACCCCTATTGCAATGCATAACCATATTTAAGGGTGTCATTTTCTAATTCAAGCTTCCCTCATTCCATAAACCCATTTCATAATTTTACTTATGTTGCTTTTATCCTTAATTGAATTTCAAAATTTACTCACTCATTCAATAAATACACCTTTTATTAATTTACAAAATACTCATATAATACATTTATGTTTCTTGGAGGTTTTTAGGTCACGGATATTACATGGATGGCGGCTCCTTTTTGTAGAGGCTAAATCGCACTACAAGAGATAATCATTTACTCATGCTTTAATCCATGCATGTATGATTAGTTGATTCAATAAATTGATCTTAAGAGTCTTAGATAGAGTAAAAAAATTATTTTATTCCGTACCTTCATAGGATGCATGATCCTTCGATTGTTGCTATTGGAGTTTGGTGTGCTTGGACGATGGCTAGAGGTCGAATGGCCGTGTGGTCAACATAATGGTTGCCGAACAATGAAGTTGGACGTATCGGACGAGTGTCCGGCTAAACAGATGATGCTAGATCGAAGGCTACCGGAGTCCGACTCGACTCGATGGACGTGTCGGACGGTTGAGGGCATAAATCGAGGTGGCTAGATGGAGTATGGTGCGACCGGAATGGCTATGGTTTGATCGATGGGCGTGGCTATTCGCTGGTAGTGGTTGGCTGATTGGGTGAAAAGGGGGACGTGGTTAGAGGCTACCGCCTATTGTAACTTTGGCTAGAAAGGACAACGACTTTGACGATGGAAGAGGACGGTTGTTTGAGTAAAGAGGAAAAGTCGTTGGTTCGAATTTTAGGAGTGTGGCTAGTCGAAATTTTTCTAGAGAGAGGAAGTATGTGGTCGCCATTCTAGACGGACACGTGGTTGCTCTATTTTTGAAGAAAATGAAAGTATTTATACTAAGTTTTTAGGATTTTTTAGGACAAAGTTTAGTTTGGTCCCTCATCTTACAAACTTGTTTTACTTTGATCCTTTTCTCTTCTTTTATTTTTCTATTTTTTTGAGAAAAAATTATGTGCTAACTATATTTTTTTTCCCAATAATTTTGAGCATGACCTTTTTTTTTATTTTTTGTATGTCAATATATAACTATCATGTGTTAATTGATGCTCAACACATAGCTCTCAACGAGTTTCAAATCATAGAATATATTCAAATACAAATAAATAAATAAATAAATAAATAAAATGTTAAAAATTAATCACTAAAATAAATTATTAAGCATTCAAATAGAATAAAAAGAAAATGTATTACTAAAATAGCAATTTTCTCTTATGATAAAATTACTTTAAATTTAAAACGATGTTAACATAGAAGGATGAATGGTTTTGAGTGAAAAAATATTAGATTAATTTGTTGGAAAAGTCTCAATACTTTCAATATTTTGATAAATAAATAAATAAATCCTTTGTATTTCAGGAAAAAAAAAAACACGTAATCCATAATAATATATTTAGCATCTTTGAAAATTTTATTTTGTAACTTAGTCCTTTTAGTTTTATGAAATTAATGTTATCAAAATTCAAAAATCATTAAATAGTACTTCAACTAGTGGGTTGATCATTCTCAATTTACTTTCTTTCTTTTTCAGAAAATACCTACTTTTCCCATCTTATTTCTCTGTATCATCTTTGTCAAAAATTACACAGATCAAAATAACATATTAATTTATTAGTTTAAAAAGACAAAACAAAATTCCGTTGCCGGGACTTGAACCCGGGTCTCTCGGGTGAGAGCCGAGTATCCTAACCAACTAGACTACAACGGATTTCAATGTCCGTGTCACATCTACTTAAATTCTATTAAAATAACATGGAAACTTTATCCAAACCCTAATGTATTGCGCCATTATCTATTGGCTCTCAAACAATTCCAATTTTATTAATTTTACTCCAAACGTAATGGATCTTAGACAATTCCACCCCTTATACTAATGGTTAAATATTTTGTTCCATTTGCACGCATTCATTAAGTGTTTTCATTAAGAAAACCCAAGTAAACTCTAATATCGTCGTAATAATTAATTTTAATATCAAATTATAGTATATTTTTCTCTTTCATAAGCTAGTGAAGTGAAAAAAAGATATTTATAATAACTTGATATTAAATTTGTTTTTTACTATATATTAGAGATTGATTGGAAAAAAGGGTTATGTAAAACTAATAATTGATGTATTGAGAAATGACATAGTCTAATAAACATTACATTTGAAATAAAATCGATACAATCAAAAGTTTGGGACTTAATTGATAATAGAATAATACCTTAGAGGTTGAATTGAGGTTTTAGAAAATAATTAAAAGCAATTCCCACATTTATGGAAGTGGAACCCACCAAAATCAGTTGTAGTTTTTTTTACCAAATCACCACCAAATTCCAAATTCCTTCCTAGTTTCTTCTTCCTTGATCACTGATCTGAAGGAATCCAATTCCTAACATTTAAAAACGGAAATGGAATTCAATTCCTCCTCTCCTAGAACCATCTCTGTAGTCTCCACATTTACCAACCCCTTTGACAACAGCAACTCCCTTGCTGATGTCAACGGCCAAACACGAAAGCCCATAGCTTTATGGCCTGGAATGTACCATTCACCAGTAACCATTGCTCTGTGGGAAACAAGGTCCAAGACCTTTGAAAGACTTCTTGACCCACCTAAAGATGCACCTCCGCAGAGTGAATTGTTAACAAGAACTCCAAAACAGAGCCGTACTAGCATCTTGTATAATTTCTCGACTGATTATATCTTAAGAGAGCAGTATAGGGATCCTTGGAATGAGGTCAGGATTGGTAAGCTGCTTGAGGATCTTGATGCTTTGGCTGGCACCATCTCTGTCAAGGTACTCCAGTTATCTTCTTTTTCTATAAATTTCTCTGGGTTGTGCTTCAAAGTTAATTTCAGAACTGGGTTTTATGAATTGTTGAAGTGTAATAGGTGGATTGGATTGTAATGAAAGTTACAACTTTTTTCTCTAGATATGGACCATCATTTGGTAATCTGCAAAGCAAAATTTAGGCCTAATCTTTTTTAAAATTTTAGAGTTAGCAATGTTGTGGTTAAATTGATTTTGACTTTGATACTATGATTTTGACTTTGATACTATGACATGGGAAATGCATAATGGACTGTATTACATGCTTGGCCTGTTGGTCTTTTTAGCTGCATTAATCTTCAGTATCTTAGTTTTTTTTTTTTTTTTGCATAAAGAAATTTGATGTGGAAACCCCCACTGCATATTATGCTCTTGGATGATTGCATCTGTTAGTTGAGCAGAATCTCAAACTTTATGGGAAAAAGAAAGGAACTAGTTTCCTGCGGTGCTTAAATATTTTAAAATGTGTTGCTAGTTTGTGTAATTTGGATGGAATTTTCATTGTAGTGAACAATTCACATGCATCTTCCTTTCTTTTTTTAATTGAATGTTTGTTATTGTGTTAGCATTGTTCTGATGATGATAGCACAACAAGGCCACTACTGCTGGTCACTGCTTCTGTAGATAAGATTGTCCTGAAGAAGCCAATTAGTGTTGACATCGATCTTAAAATGGTTGGTTCTGCCATATGGGTTGGGCGCTCATCAATTGATATTCAACTGGAGGTCATCCAGTCCACAAAAGGTACTTTATTCTTGAATAAGCATTAGCTTTAAGATGTAGTGTTCCTTGACTTTAAGAGAGAAGGAAATAAAAAGTAAAGCCACAATTGATCCTGATGGAGTGTTGTCAAGTGGGTTGAGTGGTAAGCCCTCTAGTTATAATGTTAGTATGAATCTTGTTGCAGCAAGATTTCTTGTGTGATTCATTCAATCAGAATACTTGAACATAAATTTTGAAGAAGTGAAGGAAGAAGTGCAAGCAGGATACCAATTATTTTCTATTATCTCAAACTACATGGAAATTTTAGTATAAGGCTTACTAAATGTATTGTCGACAATCCAATAAAATGTCTTCTTTTTTGGGTTGTCTTTATATTTTCTTAATCACAGTCTGTACATTTGTTTTGCAGAGGGCTCTGACACTTCAGACTCAGTAGCTTTGACAGCCAACTTCATATTTGTGGCCCGTGACTCTAAGACTGGGAAAGCTGCTCCAGTGAATCGGTTGTCACCTGAGACTGAAAAGGAAAAGTTACTTTATGAAGAAGCTGCAGCAAGGAGCAACCTGAGAAAGAGGAAGACTGTAGAAGAAAAAAAGGAATTTCAGAATGGGGAGGTAAATAGACTTGAAGCATTGTTGGCTGAGGGACGAATCTTCTGTGACATGCCAGCCTTAGCAGACAGAAACAGCATTCTTCTAAGGGATACACGGCTTGAAAACTCTCTGATTTGCCAGCCGCAGCAAAGGAACATCCATGGTCGAATCTTTGGAGGGTTTTTGATGCATCGGGCTTTTGAGTTGGCATTCTCAACTGCTTATGCCTTTGCTGGATTGGTTCCTTACTTTCTTGAAGTTGATCATGTTGATTTCTTAAGACCTGTGAGTACCAGCATCTTTTCTTTTACCAGTTACAGGATTTTACTTCACTCTGATAATGTCTCTCAAATGAAATATAAGCAATTGCTCTAAACCTTCCCCAAGTACCTTCTCCCTACATTACTGACTGAGTGTAAAATTTTTGCCACACACGAAGCTAAGACATGATTTGCATATATATATGTCTTGAAGTTGAACATCCAATTCAACTGCTTCTACATTGTATTTGATATTTAAAATGCAAATGGTGATTTCTTTGCACGGGTTGTGGTTAAGCAAGTGTGTGCGTTTGTGGTACATCTGAGAGAGAGAGAAAGAGAGGGAATTCATAGGTTTATCAACTACAGAAGCTGCACATGTAAACCGCAATCTCCGTAGTCCATACAATCAATTTCAAGTCATAGTTTACATCAAGAATTTGTGTTTGGTGAACAGGTTGATGTGGGAGACTTCCTGCGCATCAAATCTTGTGTTCTTTACACAGAACATGAAAACTCAGAAAAGCCTTTGATCAACATTGAAGTTGTTGCCCATGTTACCAGGCCTGAGTTGAGGTCCAGTGAGGTAAGTGCCCATATTCCTTTCTTTTATACAACAAAAACTGCATTCAGAGTACTTAATACTTGCCAGTCCTTAAAAATGGTCCCTGGCTAGAACTTTTACGGTATGGGTTTGACACTGAAATAGACATGAAACTTTCCTTGTAGATTTCCTATCTTTTTAATTGTATGCTTCTATTTGCTTTTGCCATATTGAAACAGGTATCAAATACATTTCACTTCACTTTCACCGTACGTCCAGAGGCAAAAGCCACCAATGATGGATTTATGATCAGGAAAGTGGTTCCTGCAACCGAGGAAGAAGCGCACCGTATTTTAGAGCGCATGGATGCAGAGTCCTTGCAATCTGGCAAAGACAAACGCAAATAGGAATATAAATTATAAATTCAAGAAAATAAGCAGCCGAAGATATTCAGCATAGCTCTAATTCCACTCAACTGATGTCCAGTTCCACGCATTGGAGGGACCATCAATCTCACTTGATGTAAAACTTAGTCAAGCTTGGTGAGCCCACTCATGCATGGAATCAGAAGCATTACCATGGAAAAAGAATTCCTTATAAATATAGTTTTTCTATCACAAGGATATGAACTCCTGGATTGAAACTTGGTCAGCTCTATTTTATATTTTGAAATACAATTGTGTTGTTTGTGCGTGTCCAGTCCTGCGCCTTTAGTTTTCAACTGGAAAATAAAAATTGCATCCCTTCCTGATTTAAAATGCTGTTTTAACTGTTAATTATTTGCAAGGGGAAAGAAAATGTGATAGTAATTGCATGGGAATTTGGTTCTACTATATAATGCAGCTCTATTTCTTCTTTGAACTGAATATAGAAATCCATTTAGATTAAGAAAACTGAGCACAAAAGCTTCATAAGAGGGTCAGGCTGTTAGCCCCACGTCGTTCTCAAGCTCTGTGAGTTGAAAAATTGTACTAGTGGTTAAGCCAGAATGAGATTTGAAATAAATACAACGCTTTTGCTAAATATTTGACATAACGAGATCAAAATTACTAAAAACAGACAGTAATTAGGTACAGTACAGATTCTTCTATATCACAGGGAGTTATCCTATAGTCATGTCTTACATAACTGAACAGCTTTCCTATAATTGAAGTTTTCGACAGGCTTACATGACATTGCCATTATCGGCTGAGAGTCAGCAGATTGCCTTATTTCACCCAAAGAAAACCTCCTCGTATACTATCTATATGGCCATAGCAAATTACAAAATCTTTTTTGTCATGGATTTATACAAATATTGAAGGAAAATAAATTACAGAAATCTGGCAAGCCAGCTGCCAGCCCATGAGAACCCAACCTGCACAATTCACCTACGGTAGGCACTTTCTGGCTAAATGCAACAAAAACCTTATCCGGAAATGAGGCAGAGCCACAAATATTCAAGGAGATGCGCTCTCATCATCAGAGGAATTATACTGCTTCCTTGCATTGGGTCCAGAAAAAACCTGTGGCAGCGTTGGATTTACAGGAACTGGGAGCATTGGATTTACCGGAACTGGAAATTTATGGGCAGAACTAACAATTGTTCGCTCATTTATCATACCAACTTCTTTGCAGACACGATCAAGAACTCTAAGAAAGTCTCTCACCACCATGAAGATTCTGAAGGGGTGAGCCTCTTCCTTGGATGAATTGCCATGGAAGTACTCAGTGATCTCCTTTACTAGTGACAAAGCAACACTTTCTTGGGCTTGAATCTTTATAATCTCCTCCTCAGCCATTTTCATGAACCTGGTCATTGACTCCGAAAATTTCTGACTGCTTTCCACCATCCCCAATGTTTCATTTAATCGCACCACCTCGCTGATATTATCAATGCCTCTAGAAAGCTTGGAGACATCACTGCTAAGCACATCAGAATCCATAGCAGCTGCTTTCTTCACATTGGTGAGCTCTGAACTGAGACTAGAAACAACTTGCAGGCCGAGCTTCCTACACTTGGCATCTTCACTGGAAGTGGAGTTTGGAGTTTGGTTAGCACCAGAAAGACGAGCACCTTCCGTTCTTATAATTTCCTGTACAACAAAATGCAAGAGTGTGGTCTTGCCATCTGCACCCTTCACATCAACAAGCTTGAGGAGCGTGTCGAGCTTGAAGGCATGGGCATCACCACGGTTGGTGCCAACATTCATGCGATTCCCTGTCTTCAGCACAGCTTCTAAAAGTTTCAAAAACATCCTGCTATTTCTCAGTTCTTCACAGGATGCCTGTAAAAAGGAAAAACCAATGAGACGTGACCTGTGACATCTCAGATCCACCAACACCAAATGACCAACTTCACCAAACAATAATGACAAGAAATCATACGGATTAGTGTAGAGGAAAGAAAGAAGCATTGAGACTGGTGGTTGCTATGCGGACAGAATTTTCTATTGGGTAGCTGACAGGGTAGCAACTTTGGGTCATTCAACAATCATCCATAGTAAGTTCAAGCAACTATCTTGAGAATTGCAGAGCCAACTGGCTACTAAAATTTTGTATGTGTTGAGGAATTTGCTAGTCTACAAATTGTAGGCTTGATGACTACAATTAAACCACAAGCAAAAAGAAGTCACAAAGAATCAAAGGAAATGGATTAGAAGACTTCATTTACCTCTAGAGTTTCAAAGGACTTTTTGAGGTACTCAATTTCAGATTCAAAATTGGCCACATAAAGCATTGCATCCACTCGTTTAAATGCAAAAGGTACATCAAGTACTGCCTTCAGGAATTTCTCAGCATGACCAAGCTTGGTTGGAGAATCGTCTTTGTATTCTTTAAGTTTTCGCTCTTCTTCTTTGGTAGGAGCCATCTTCAATAAACTTTCTAGAAGCTCAGTTCCAAGAATATCAACATTGCCTGCATAACAAGTGGGACTAACTTTAGTTGCAATATCGCTAATTGCAAGATGATATTATATATGTATATATATATATATATAAAAAGCCCCAACAGAAGCAGTAGTGAAAGATGGACTTCAATACAAATTGACAAGATGAGGCATTTAGTGCATTAGGAGATCTCCACAAGTTGGCAGCTCTAAAGATCTCAAATGTAATCGAGCGCAGACTGGTAAATAAAATTGCTTGAACCAATCTAACATATCCTTGACAAGTTTATTTTATATCAAGCAGTTTCGGAGCATGGGCAGTAATAAGCATCCCAGTATTTATGTCCAGGCTCTAGTTTATAGCACTCAATGAAGTATTATCCACCACTGTTAACTAAAACCCGAGTTTCATTTGTAAGTGGACTTCCAGAAGAAAAATTCAATATATTGCACTTCTGGAGGCTAGAAGCAACCAAACATCTTATAGTAAAGTTAAGCAAGGCAAAAGAAACTTCAAGAATAATATACTGGTTCACCTGAAGGATAAAATCTGTTATCAAAAACAGCCAAGAAAGGTTATTTTCAAGCAGCAAAGGAGATGTGCCAAGAATTTATTCCCCAGACAGAAGAACCCTAAGACATGAAATAAACCAACAAGCAGCGCAACAATATGCAGAATGAGGAATTTAGGACCATGTGTACCATGACAATGGACATTTACCTTCTAAAAGGCCTTCACAAACTTCCTCAATTGTCACATTGAGTGCCCTGAGCAAAATTGCAATGTTCTGCGCCTTTTTGGGATCAAGTACCCTATTCTCTTGGTTGGATGTTGGACCAACTGAATGAGGAGTAGTTGGCTTTGGTTTTGGCGTATTAACGACAAACAATGTTTCAATCATTTCCTCGTTCAATCTGCGAATTACCCAATTCAACCAATTTATACAGGAGAAAAGATAATATAATCCACATTAGAAATTAAAAAAAAAGGCCTATTTTACTGGAAAAGAAAAGGAGTACGAAAACAGATAAAGTACCAAATACAAGTAAATAAGTAACAGTGAGTTTAGTGTCTTACTTAAAAGAGCTTGACCTCAGATGATCCCAAACCATTTCGCGATCAGAGCTTGCTCTAACTTTATCCCAATGCAAGGGCTTTAACTTTGGTTTAGGAGTATCCTCGGCATCCTCCACAATTTTAGAACTGGGAGGCAACTCCATTGGCGATACATTGGTTGTGCTTTGTAATACAAAAGACCTTGAGGGGGGTATAAGCGCTGGAGGCTTTGAAATTGGCTGGTCTGTTGGCGTTGATGCTGCAGAATCAACACCGGGAGATTCCCATTGCCTTTGTGGTTGCAGCATTGGCGGAGGTGGAGGTGGAGGTGGTGGTGGTGGTGGTGGTGGTGGAATTGACATAGGCTGCTCTAAAACATTACTAATTCTTGCATTTAGACTCAAAACTCTAGAAGTCATTCTTGGTGACAAATCTGGGCTCTTTCTATCCGGCGAAGAAGAAGCTGAAGACAATAATGTAGGAGACATCTTAGTATGATCCGAAACATTCGAAATTCTGGGAGATGAAAATGAGCTCTTCACGGCAGACAACGAAGGAGACATCTCAATACGATCCAAAACGTTTGAAACTATTGGAGATGCAGGTGGGCTCTTATCGAAACCTCTTTCTGGTGAAGTAGAAGCAGCAGATAGTGAAGGAGACTGCACATTTTGATCCAAATCAATCGATATTTTTGGTGATGGGGTCTTCTCCAAAACTCTATCAGGCGATGTAGAAACAGATGACAACGACGGAGAACGCACATTAAACCGAGCCAAATCGTTCAATACTCTACCAGGCGAACTAGAAACTGAAGATGGTGAGCTGGACGGTCTATTTTGGACCAAATTATTCAATATTCTAGCTGGAGATAAAGATGGAGATCGCATAATCACATTTTTTCGATCCAAATCAGTCAACACTCTAGGAGAAGTAGAAGCCGACGACAGCACATTTCTTTCCAAATTTAGAGTTATTCTAGGCGAACCATCTGGAGATGAAGCAGAAGAAGAAGATTCCCTCTCGTTATGAACATCCATTATTGGTGGTGGTGGTGTAGATTGAGCAGCAAGTAGAGTTCCAGACTCCGGCGATTTTGGTCCGGGACTCAAACTTACTGGCGGAGAAATACTGAGAGACCGAGACCGAGCAGGAGAAGCTGAAGTGGAAGACGAATACGAGCTCGAAGAATCAATACTTTTTGCATCAAAACCTACAGCAGCAGCAGCAAACACTCTTCTAGACCCGGATCCTGTCCCGCTGGAACTCTCTCTACCGCCTGAGGATCCTCGCGGTGAGTAAAACTCCTCTTCATCCTCCTCCTCATCCCCATCCCTATTAGTATCATTATTATTATTACACCCAACTTCTCCACTTCCATAATTCTGCCTCGAATTCTCCCTGTTGAGCGGTGGAAGAGGGCGGAGCTCCGGAGACTCCAGTTTCTGACGGTCCGACCCGACGTTAGTGTTGTCATTGGAGCTTTCATCTAGCCTCCTTGAATTTACTAAAGTGCCCAGGTAGAGAAACTCGGAACTAGTTGAAGTAGTTCTTAGCTTATGGCCGTTATTATTAGTGTTACTACTTGTTCTCGTATCTGCATTTACTTGGTACTGCCTGCTACTGTAATTGGATCCGGTGTAAGTCTTGTCGTCGGAAAAGTTGCTGCGGTATCTCCGGCGGCGAGCGTAGTAAAAGACAATGATGCCCAAGACAACGAGAGCGGAGATGACAGCAGAGATAGCGACGACGAGGAGTTTTTGGGAAGTGGGTTTGGGCTTAGAAGACTGAGGGAGGATAAGAGAGGAGATGTTGGCAGGGAAAGTTGCAAATGCAGTAGGGGAAGGAGGGGGTGGAGGGGAAGGGTATGAAGGGAAAAAGGGGGATTGGTTAGGGGTCGAAAGGGAAAATGGGATTTGAGGAGGTGTTGATGGTGGAGAAGGTGGAGCAGGGGATGGAGGTTCAGTGGGAGGAATGGAGTCTTGTGGGAGGAATGGTTGATGAAGGATCCTACGGCTAGGAATAGTGGCGGAAGACAACTGGAGGGGAGCGCAGGATAAGAGCAAGAATAGTGCCGTGATCAACGAGGAAGAGATGAAGGAGGTGCGCATTTTGTGATGTCTCAGCTCTCTGTTTCAAGAGCAGGAAGAAGAAGAAGAAGAAGAAGAAGAAAGAGATTGTAGGGACTGTTTGCTTTTTTAAAAAGAGAGAGAAAGGGAGAGGAAAATGGGAAAGGGTTGAATCATGAGAGAGGAAAAGGAAGGGGAGAAGGAGGAGGAAGAGAAAGTGTCGAAGGAGGGAAGGAGGAGGTGCATCCAGCTAAGATTCTGCTGGTGAGTTTGTCTTGTGTTTGCTACTGTTATTAGTGAAGCGAAAAGGGAAGAGTTTTTTCCAGCAGTTCATTATTATTATTATTTATATATAAAAATAATAATATATTAATAAAATGCTTTCAAATATTATTAGAAAATAATAAATCATGAATATATTTATATAGAAATAACATATGAAATTATATTAATGTATATAATGTTTTAGTTTACATAATATTCCTGGAAAATACATTATAATACAAAACATATTATATTATATGTTAATTATACATTTCAAGATACAATAAAAAAATATTTTCAATGTTCCATAAAGACCAAAATAGTAGCTTAAAATGTATTATTTTTCAACTTATATTTTAAGATACGGTGAAAAACGGTTTCAACTTGTTTTTTATGTTACAATCATATATTAAAAAAAGTAATTTATTTTGCCACAGACAAATAATAATTTAGTTGTAATTAAAAGAACTTTTTATTTTATTTTATTTTATTTTAATGATCGTGCAGTACTCCATCTGCTGGAACTCTCATTAAACTAGGAAAAAAATGAAAAGGAAAATAAAACCAAGATAGTACAGCCATGTGCGGATGGGATCAGAACGAATGGTCCTTGCAGTTCATGTATAGACGGTGTGGATTGAAGGTTCCTGCGGAAATGAAAAATAATGTATCACGTAGTTATGTTCTTCATGCAAGCAAAAGCAATCCATTTCCAATCACATCAAAGCCAAAAAAGATAACGAAATGAAATGATTTTGTTTTTGACATTGATGATGCGGTGCTTTTTCTTGCATGAAGTGAAATTATACATCATAATTATAAATTAGTTTCTTTAGTTTCGAAAAAAAGATGATTAGTCCTTTTATTTTAAAAATTAATTATTTAATTTTTTTGTCTCATTTAATTTTTTTTTATTTTTTAAAGATAGAAAAAATGAATAAAAATCATGAAAAGATCATCGAGAAAAATAAGATATTTTTAATAATAAAATAATATTTAATTAAAAGAGATCAATACTGATTAAAGGATTAATATGTAATTTTTAAAATCAAATATTAATTAATTAGTTTTTCAAAACTAAAAGGACTAATTTATAATTTATTTCATCCAAGTTGGACTCCTAGATTTTAGTTTCCCGACAATTACGGCCGTAATTCAAAGTCGAGAAAAACGGTCCCTGACACGACCACGAAAACTAGCCATGAAAAAAAATTAAAAAATTAATTTTCTTAAAAAAATTTGACCCAACTCCACTCCACTAGTGTACTCAAAATGTGGCAACCAGCTCGAAATGAAATGAAACACTAACTTTTTTTTAATAAGTTTTTATTTGTTTTTTTTTTTAACTTTTAGCTTGGAGATCAGACGAAGGTGAAGAGAGGAGGAGGAAAATAAAGAAAAATAATAATAATTCAAATATAATCATCGACGAAGATGAGAATATGAAAATTGAATTATTTTTATTAATATAAAAAAATGACAACCATAGTTACTATTTATGAATGGACATCACTAGAATATAACGTTGTGATTAAATGTAGTAATAATTTGTAATTATCATGGTTTATTATTGGATCACGTGAAAACAATGATGCACCACCTTCTGTCAATTTAATATTTAATTATTATTCTTTTTATGTTTTTAATAAAAAGGTCAAAAATAACAAGTACGATAGTCCTTCTATCATAGAATAAAGAAAAGAAACCAATAAACGGTCGTTGAATTCATTTTCTAACGTTTTTTTTTTCCTTTCTCGATAGATCTTAATTTCGAACCTCTCTTTTGTATATTTCAAAAAAAAAAAAACATAAAAATCTAGTTCATAAAAATTATCTCTATTAAAGGACTGTCTCATCTAACATATTTTTTCAAGTGAAAGCCTTAATATTTAGAGCTTCAAACTTACACAAATCCACGTTACCTTATATTTAATATTTAAAAATTAAAGGTGATAAGATTTGAACTCAGCACTCTTGATCAATTAAACTCGATACCATATTAAAAGATCATCGCATCTAAAAACTTAAGCTGATAGGTGAAGTCCTGAATATAATTTATATTAATCTCTAACGATCTTTATTTTTATTTTTATTTTTTTGTGTTAGGAAAAAAAACTAATATTAATAAAACAACGAGTATTGCAATCGGTTTTTTAAATTCTTCCTTTTTTTTTTCACGATGTATTTGGGAGGTTAAGACATCTATTTCAAAGATATATGATAAACTTTTCTCTGCTATTTTTTGTATAAATAAATTGTTTGATAGTTACATAAATAAATAAATAAATAAATAAAGCAGCTCTCTTTGTTACAGAAACAAAGCAAAAACTACAGTATTAGCGTGCATCCAACCAATCTTTTGGGCACACGTGCATGGACCATAGAGCACCGACACTCGATTGATTTTTTTTTTTTTTTTTGGGTTTGAAAAATAAACGATTCAAAAAACATAGGAGAGAGGAAATAAGCAATAATTAAGTATATCATGGAAGTTAGGACTAAGGACACGGACACTGTAACTACCAAAGTTTGGAAATATAAATAAATCTATAGGACGACCCATGTTGATGCAGGTCACTTTGGGTATAGTATATTTTTATGGATCCACTAAATAATTGATTACGATCCATCCTACTTTGTTTTTTTAAAAAAATAATAATCATAATAATAATACCAGTCTCGATTGCCATCTTTTCAAAATATTAATTGTTGGAATCCAGATGACAAAAACTATATATAATTAAAAGTATGATTGTATTTTATAATTATAGATGAGGTTGTCTTGCATGTACTTACCTGGCCGGGGTCAATTGAAAGGTCCATGGCCTAGGTTAGTGACACTCATTGTACTTACGATGGATGCTGGCTTAAGGTCTGTCCTGGTTGGGAGAGCCTACGTCATAATTTGTGATAGATGGCATGCGTTAGTGATCCTATTCGGCCAAAGTTGGTCAAATATACTCGAGTACATGGCTTCCTTGTTCTCTTTTTTTTTAATTATTATTATTATTGATACGTATTATTTTTTATCATTTTATATATTGAGAATAAATTTTTTTTTTTTACTATATTATAGTCAAATCAAATCAAATCTTTTATCAATTTTAAAAGCTAAATTTTTTAAAGACGCCAACAAATTTATATCTAATATCAATAAAAAAAATATCAATTTCTTTTTAAAATAAAAGATATAATTTCGATTTACATGTAAACTAAAACTAATTAGAAAATATTGCTTGTCATCGAATTAAAATAATATAAAGTATATCAAAAAAATTAGTTCAAGTAAAAAGATTGTTAATTAGTTAAATAAATAATTTAGAATTTAAGATTCATTCGGTCATTAATTGTTTCTTACAGGTACATTAATTCATTCGGTCAAAATTTGCTTTGTTTGATGAGAATCATGAGATGGTTTCACACGTACGCTTGGCTGCCGACTTAGCAAATTGTTTTGGTTTGAAAAATAATAAAATTTTACCGTTGTAATATCGGTATACTACTTGTGAAATATTTATTTATAAATTTCAATATCGAATATAAACATAATTTGAAACCCTTTCACGTAAAAATCTAGTGCGATGTAACTGTAATATTTATTACCAGAAATTGGGTAGCCTACCTACCCAGCACCCACCACTCCATATTTGTGTTAAAACAAAAAGTCATGAGGTTGATTGTCAGAATTAGACTTTTAGCGTAAAATTTTATAATACTAAAAAAAATAATTAATAACATATATAATATAATAATTATGTGATGAATTCATATTTATTATCAGAAATCGGTAGCCTACCTACCAGGCATCCACCACTCCATATTTGTGTTAAAACAAAATGTCAAGTGGTTGATTGTCAGAATTAGATTTTTGGTGTAAAATTTTATAATATTGAATAATTAATAACATTTATAGTAGTTATTTTATGTATTTATTTTAAAGAGATAAATAGACACATAAAAAAGAACAAAGAAATTTTTTAAAAAATAATTAAATAAACATAAAAATCTTTTTATTAATTTTAATAAATAAAAATATAAATTTTTTTCCTTTTTATGCATCCATTTCTCTCCTAAAAAAACATTTTAAAAAAATAAATACTGATACATGTTACTGGTTATTCTTTTTATGTATTATCACAGTTGCCAACTTTGGCCGGCTCCAGATTCCTGCCCAGAGATCTTTGCTGCCTTTATGGAGCAGAAGAATTTTAGATCTGGACAATACGTGCACATTAAAACCATGCAAATACATACATACAAACATACTTTCAGTGTAGTAGCATTAAACAATAACTATCTCGTCTTCTTCTTCTTCTTTTTTTCGTTTTTTCTTTTCCGTGAAAGTGACAACGCGTGATGAAAGTCATACATTACCTAGCAATAGTTCCCATACCAAACTCTGGCGCAACTTCCTAGGAGTATTTTTAGTAAGAAAATGTACATTGAGGTTGCATTCATATTGAGGCTGATGGAATCTGTAGTTGAGATAGATTCTACTCAAGTTTCATCACTCAAGTTCAATTTCCAATATTTTTGTATAGATACAAATAATTTTATTTTCATACTTTATAGACTTAAATTCAGTTGTACTTGATCCAAATCATTAGTCCGAATATAATTTCAAACACATGTAGTATTAAAAAAGGAAAAAAAACTTCCAAAAAAAAAATTGAAGGATGATGCACTCTTAGGAATTTAATTTCGAGATTAATGTACAATTTGTTTCAAAGGTATCTTCACATACTACAAAAGAAAAGAATGCAGAATTCTAGTACCAGCAACACATCACGTGAAGTTTCAGGGCTTGATTAAGCTTCTGCTTTTCTGCTTCTTAATTAGAGTAATTACGTTCACTAATGTAGGATGGGCAAATCCTAATCACCTTTTCTTGATTAAGTTTCTTATAAAAACTTTCCCTTTTTCTTAAATTAGCTTTCTAACAGCGATATATATATTTTTTTTTTTGTCAAATCCTAATCACCTTTCCTACACATTCTTTTGACTTTAAACCTCAGAAAGCACCAAAAGCTTTCAAAGTGACATTTCCACCAGGAAAAAGGTTCTTGGCAGATTTAGAGTGGCACTATTAAAGCAAAAAATGGGCAAAGCCTTTATTTTTATTTATTTATCTTTTTTGCCTTTTGGGTATAGCATGCCTAACCTTAATGGAAGGCCAGTCCCCCAGCCAAAATGTATGAAGAATCAGATCATGAAAATGAAGCTCCAAGTAATATAGGATGGATAACCCTGCTCGTGGGAAGCAATAAAACAGGCTATACACTTCTACTGTTAAACAACAAATTTATTCTCCTTGTGGGTGATATGATATTTTGAAGCTTGTAACTTGGATAAGAATCTGTTATTGATGTGGACCGCCACGCCCTCTTGCTTTCGGTAATAGCATCTTGAAGGAATTAACTTTTTTGAATAGCCATGACAAAAGAAGATGGGGAAAAAAAAAGGAAAAGAGGGGTGAAAGAAAGGGGATGTAGCACGAACGCTAATGAGTGGACAAAGAAGCAAAGTAATAAAGTGACAAGAGATGTGAGCCACTGGCCACTGATTTACACAACCATAAATTGGCATAGATGTTCACTGTCCAGTACTGGTAGATTCTCAGCGACAAGGAAAAAAAAAAAAAAAAGAGCCAGCCTTGTTTGGATTGCAGAAACAATGATTTCCAAAATGAGTTATTGCGAACTAAAATAATCAATGCTGCTTCATAAGGTCCTTAAGATTATGATTAATGTATAAGAAAGACCGTTTGAGAAAGGAAGTGAATCTTAATTATCATAAGACCATATCGAGATGAATCATAGGATGCTTTGAGTTTTATATGTGTAAACTGAAAGAAATGCAATGCTGTTTTTATGATGGTTTGTTGACCGTTGATTCATCACTATTTGTAGACTAATAATGAAGTCCCTATTATTTCACATGGGCTACAACAATAATGTTTGCATTTTATTCCATATCTTGTTTGTCATTACATGCATCCTTGAAGTTCCATCAAGATGGAATGCTCCCCATAGAGGAGGCACATTTCCGATACAAAATGTGGCATCTTCTCTTCTCTATAACAAAGATTAAGGCTCCAAAGAACTTTCTACTACTGCAGAGGTGTGTTAATTTTCCGTGTGAAAAACCTTTAAATCATCTGGCGTCTAATATTTATAGGATTAAAAGTCCAGGATCTCTCTATCTTATTTCAAATATCTTAATTGTATTTCTTTATTAAATTTTTCAACTATCGTGTTCTTTTATTTTTAATCACGTCCGCTTTTAATCTCTTCGATCACTTTTTCAAACAATAAGAATAACTTTCAATTTCATGCAACGAAAACAAAAATAACAAAATAAAAAATGCTAGAAGTTGTCTCTCTTGTTTGAAAAAGAGATCGGAGGGATTAAATGTAGATACAATTAAGAGTAGAAAGACACAATAGTTAATAAATTTAACATAAGAACAGAATTAAGACATTTGAAAGAATAGAGGATTATCTTGAACTTTTAACCCAATATTTTTAAACAAAACTCCATGGACGCGCATAGAAACTGCAGTTGCTCTTAATTTGCCTAATCCAGATAAGCTAGCTTCTTCTTCTTTTTCAAACATAAACTTATTGTTACGATTGAACTTTGTTCCTTCCATTTTTTTTCTTTCTCTATCCAGTATTTGAATAAATTATTATTAAATTATGGAGACTAATGTAAATGAGTCTAAAGTATAAGCTGTTATATAAATCCAACAAAGAAGCTTTGGTGTAGAGCCATCAAACGATTAATAAAATATTGGATCAGACATATAGATCCGTTAAGCTTTTTTCTTATATTATACTATAAATAAAAACAATATCATTTATATTTAAAATTGTTATTTAACAAAAATTAATAAGAAATCCTAATACATCCCTAAAGTAAACATCATTATTAAATCAAGTAAAATTTTTATGTTGTATGATTATATTTGTTTTTTAATATATTATTTTTCTTGTTTCGTTTCTAACAATTGTCTCCATTTCATTACCTTGATTGCATAAAGTTTCGTGCTCGAGATCTTTTATTGCTAAAATTCAAACTTGTGGGGTTAACAAATATAGTGGGATGAAGACACTGAAGATTGCCTGAACTGGAGTGTTCTTGGTAAGCTATTGGTTTGTCTTTGTGTCAGAAAAGGCTATTAAGATGATTTCCCTAACTAAATGGAATTAGACAAAGTTCTTTGTAATTTCTCAGTTATAATAATACAATGAACAACAGCTAGCCTAGCCCTATTGTGTAGGTGATTATATGTGGAAGTTTATTTCGAAACCCAATGCACTATCAAATTGATAGTAGGCACTCCAAATCACGTAATTAACCCGTTGCCTGAAACACACTTTGGGGATTTGTTAGCATACAAACAGTTCATTTCATTCATCCATGGGATTCTCTGAACCAGAATTATTTCCTTAACCATAAAGTGTTTCATTCTTGCTAACTGCTGAAGAATCAGGTGCCATTTTATAGCTCTCCAAAATCCCTCGGCCAGAGAGCTGTTCAAACTTCAACGCACTATTACTGAACACCATGAAATGTTACTTTCTTTTTTGAGCGTTACATAAATTGAAGAATCCAGAATCTGCCTGAAATAGCCCTCGTTGATGGGGTTGTCATGGGGATTCCGATATCGAAAAACAGATGCACCCTTCACGAACACGATAAATATAATCACTGTTCGAATTGTAAAAAGAATGAGGAGCAATAATGCTTCCCCCAGTTTCCTAATCATCCTTCTTCGTCTGTGTTCGGTCATCTCCCCATATCCTCTTGGTTAACTAAGTTAATCATTGCCGCAAATACAGGGGAAGAAAGGCATTAATATCCACATCCCTATTCTCAAACACGTTCTCCTACAACTCAAAGCTAAAATTCTAAATAACCTGATTATAGAACTAAGCTTTGGACTAACCCTAAAGAGGACAAACGACCAACGATTTATAATACATGCTGAAATATCCAATGCATCATGAGAACTGATGAAAAAGATTAGGGGTGGAAGTTTTGCCTATTACCAGCAATTATATTAGGCCATTGTTATGACATAAAGTATCGTTTTCAGCAAACTGATCCCTGCACCCAATGTCTTTTGTCAGGTGAATTCACAATGTTCATAGTTTCAGTCAGTTCAGAACCTAGTCTGAATAAAATGAGAAACAGAACATAAGAAATGTCTCAATCGCAATAATGGAAAAAAAAACAAAAAAAACAAAAACAAAAACAAAAGCAATGATCACTCCTAAACTTGGTCTATTACATAACCAATGCTAAAAGATATATAGTAATGCTCTAGGAGACAAAAGAGTATGCACATTGTTGAGTATCAGAGGCTATTTTGTTTGAGCGCCTTCATTATTTAAAATCTGAATGGTGATATGTATCATTGTGCAAATCAGAAGTTGACAAGAGTAAAGTTAGTCCAGAAATTTCACTACTCCATTTTATCAGTTACAACATGGTCAAACAGTAGTTGCAAGCGAGTAATAAATTCCAACCTTTCATGGGTTTTTTTGGAGGGATCAGCACCAGAATCATAATGCCCACTTCTATCCTTCTTCTCCTCGTCTTTGTCTTTACTTCGCTCTCTATCTTTATGATGGTTTTTGCTTCTTATGCTGTTTATCCTTCTCCTTATCTCTATCTTTGTGTCTTTTATGCTTCCTATCCTTCTCCTTGGACTCGCTTTTCGATTTCCCAGCTACGATAGGAGTCCCCTTCTCTGCCTAAAGAAGACAAAAGAAATAATAAATAAATAAAATCTCATCATGATACTAAACAAATGAGTTGGTGTGAAGAACCACAGAATACACCCACAGCCTGAATTTTGACAAAACATATATAAACCAGCAAAATTCAAGGCAAGATAAATCCTTACAGAAGGCAAACCTATAAGAGTGGTTTCCTTCAGTTGGCAGGCCTCTCTGAGTACATCTAGATCAAATGGCTGTATACATGCATTACTATCTCTGGAATAAGAAGTATTCTGGATAAGCTGATCCAATTGCATTTTCAGTATCTCCCACCACATTGTGAAGATAATGTGTGTCTGCAATCATCGAAGGAAGTGACTGCTCGCAGAAAAATTACTGGAGGGGCAACAACTTGCAGTGACCTATAAGATCAACTGCACCAGCCAGCTCTCTTGGTGCTGAAGTTTCAAAGGGCACAATCTCATCAGTTTAAGCAACAAAATACCGGGCAAACCTCATTTTACCCCAAATGCTTCCAAGTGTCTGTCTCAAGGTTGGTTATATATTCACTGTCACCCTTTGCGTCCTCCATCATCAACACCTTCTTTCAGTTTTCCCTTTTTCAATTGGATGAAGGAACTTTAATGAATTTCAAAGACAATAATAAACATAAAAAAACACTAAACTATTACTTTGGATGAATAAAGACAACTCGAAATCTGGTCTTACTTTTTCAAATATTGAGAAATGATCAAACATAAACCAAATGGGAAATCAAAAAGTCAACAAGTTGTTTTAGTATCAATGTAGAAACACATTTCCTTTTAAAAATAAATGAACATATTCATAAACATCCGTTAACAGCTTTTTGTTTCACTGGAGTCAAGAGTGAGTTGGTAATGAGAAAATTTAAAATAGAGCAGGTAAACTGAATGCAACAAGGCAGTTGGGGTAAAACTTCCATCGATGCAGGAATCGTAAAGCTTGTTTCATCCACTGACTATGTGTAACTTCCCTTATTATGTCGGCTAGAATAGAAAGGAGGTATGGGTTTTTTCTTTTAATACACATGAATACATGTACACAAAGAGGATTAAAAAACGAGGCTTTAATAACAGTATGTATGGCAACTAAAAGATGCAAGGGAAACGAAGGGAAATCAAAAGGAGGAAAGAAAATTAAATATCCTTTGTTTGGTTCAAGGAAAGTGAAGGACATTAAGTTTTCTTTATTTTGATATATAGATGGAAAGGAAGGGAAAAGGAGTAATATTATTATTATTATTATTATTATTATATTTTTACTACTTTGACATTATGCAGAAATCAAAGCAGCGTCTAATCTAACATTGAATATACATAGAAGACAAAAAAGAAACAGAAACAAGGGGAGAATAGAGTCAATGAACCAATATAGAGAGAATTTCACAATATGCAACCATTGCAAACAAATTGTCCATTAAATATGAACAAGAGTTGGGACAAATGAAAAACATACGTTAACTAGAGCATATTTCTTAGACAATATCATGTGGAAAATTGAGACATGTTTTTTATTTCCTTAATTTCCTTCCAATTTGGGTAGAAAATTTAAGTGGGTCAAAAAGGAAAGTCACAGATTTAGTTTCCCCCATTTTCCCTCCGTTTCCTTTCTTGTCCCTGCCTAATTTTAGCATCTAAAAACAAAGGAAACTAAATTCATTTCCTTCCATTTACCCTCATTTATATTACTTTCCCCCAAAACATACACACTATAAGAGCAAGTCACATAGCTAAATCAGCAACTAGCTTTTCAGTTCCTCCTACAGAGTTTAAACTACATTAAAATATGATTTATATTTGTTGTTTTCAAATCTAATCTCAGAATCGCCCATGAATTATTAATTAATTGTTCTCCACTTTTGATCCTTATAGACCTAACAATCAATATTTGTTTATATAACATGCTCTGAGATGTATTTTACTGCAATTTTCATATCATTGAAGGTCTTACAAACTTTTTCATTACCTTTTGCAGTTGCAGCTTTGGTTACAAGACACATAAGTCTTGACTTTCTTTAGGGCAATATGGTAGATGATAAAGTTGAAGCTATCATTTTCAGCTTTGGAATATAGATAATAACTTTTGATTTGGTTTGTTAGGAGGGCTAAAGGAGTTATGCTTGGCTTCAAAAGACAATGCAACATTAGGTTGCATCTGTCAATATAAAAACAGCAACGTCTGCATGTTCACATCAGAATGATCCAGCTACAGAGTGAACTGAAATGTGTAGTGATGATAACACTGAGGATCCAAAACCCGTCAACCAAGCAAAATTGAAAGGGAGGAGGGTAGGGGTAAAGATGCAACAAACCGAAAACATTCTAAGAACTAATTCTTACCTCTTCCAAACTTCTTGCTTTCTGGATCCATGGGTCAATTAATGTTTCATGAAAAATCGAACTTCCAACTGCATATTATTTATCACAAGTTAGAATGCTTTACAACTATCAAATACCATTAGAAATGAATCCCAGCATATATATATATAAAAAAAATGTATGGAGCAGCTATCTCCCAAGTTATACTGAGATCCAAGCATATACCGAGCAAGATGAAGTAGCACAAAAACACATAATGACACATAATTATTTTTATTTGTTGTGTGTTAGACATGAGGATATGTGTTTGCATCTTCATATTTACCAATGAATTCAAGTCCTATTGGAGGCTATTATGGCATATATCTCCAAGTCACCACATTCTCAGTTATTTATAGTTTGCCATCACCGAGCCAACAAGGAACTATTTTGTTCGAAAACTTGGATTCTTTTTTAAATTCACATTAATGCCGAACAGATATTTGAGTAATAAAACTGCTGTCGAAGTTGGACTACCAAAATGATTACACACAAGTGCCGAGTGTTTGAAATCATCTCCCGCTGCACAACTCTCTCCGAAAATAAGATTTTTCAATTAATCATCTCCCCTTCATTTTCGAATATGTATGACGAAAGATTACTAAACTGCCTGATGGTTTTTAGATCAAACAGAAACGGAAAGGGGATAGCACATTATACAACCTTATCTATACCGAACGAATAAATGTGCATGAACCTCCATTAAGAGTGTGGTGTGAGCAGTGAAATACTCCACTTGATTTTCTTAAAAATAATGTCATGGAACCAACTTAAAAAACTGCGCAGCAACTTGTAGGCAGCACACGTAATTCAAAATTTCATTAATGCATGTAAAAGGTTACACCAATTCCATTCTCGTTTGAAAAAAAAATATTGCAAACAGTGACATTATTTACTCCATAGGCTTATTACAAAATTCATGACGTCAGTCACTTCCAAAACCTTAATTTTCACCTATAAAGTTTTTTTATTGACGGAGAACTCGGGCCCACACTTTTTGGAGTAAATTATATTTGACAAAAGAATTAATTTTTTTTTCCAAAAACTAATCATTTTTAATATTAAGTTGTTCAAAAAAATATTTTTTCTTTGATATTTTCATAATATCTATTTTTTTTTTAATTTACTACTTTTAAAAAAATTAAAATTAAATCTAAAAAAAAACTAAATAATTAATTTTTGAAATAAAAACTAATTAATTCCTTTCTCAAAGCTAGAGGAACTAATTTATAATTTACTCCTTTGCAATGCACCACCGTTACGCTAAGTCCATGTAAATTCACTAATCACATCACTACTACCTCTGAGTGGTTAAATAAATGGAAAACAAAACCTTAAAAAATTAGCAAAGTTAAGAATCAAAAAGCTAAAACTTGTTGTCCAGCCCAATCCGATGCAACGGAATTAAGAACATTTGTTTCCGTGAAACTTAAAAGTAAACAAACCTTAGACATGGATTTAGAATTCCTCTGTACCTTAGCTCTTCTTCTCTTCAAAATCAGAAAGGATAAAACCGCAAATTTCAATATCCCGTCTCCTTCTCCCAGCCCCCTCGAGTTTAAAAGCTCTCGCCTCTCGCCCCACCCTTCACAGTACCTCTCTATGAAACAAACATTGATTCCAATCAAGTTTTTAATTATTTTTCACTTCGATAACCGGTGCCAGAGAAAGAATTTAACCTGTCGAGGAAAGTGGAGATAGATAGAAGGGACTAAGACAGTGAATTTGATGGATCAGAGAAGATTGGAGAAAGAAAGAGTGAGTTAGAGAGAGAATGCTATTTATAGCAGGTGAAATTGGCAGTTACTTTAGGGTTTGTTTGGAGAGGAAGGGGGAGGCGTTCCGTCGCAGAAAGAGTTTTAACTTGCAAAGCTTTTGCTGCGTCTTTTCTCTCTGTCGCTCTTTTACTCGTTTCTCGCTCCCTGGGTTTCGTTTCCTGCTCCGGGAGAAAGATTACGCTTTCTGTCTCTATCTTCGGAACAATAATGGATAAATTTTCGTGCTTCCCTCTAGCAGGGACACATGACATGGAGAGATATAAATTTTAATGAATTTGTTTTCTCGTTTTTATCATCACATGCATTCCAATAGGATAAAACGATTTTGAATGACAGCTGATTTTTACTATTGAAAATAGGACACGCATGTGATATGAGTAATTATTTTATGTTTATAGTTTTTATTTCAATGCCATTGAAATTTATTTATATGTTTTTTTACAAAATTAGGCAAACTGATTTAATTATAAATTATAAAGGTTTATATAAAAAATTTGGATTTAATAAAAACAAACGATCTAATTTAATAAATACTAAAATATGTATAAATAATTCAAGATAATTTGTTAGAGATTGCAATAAAATACTATAAATTAGTTGAATAATAAAAATATTTTCTAAGAGAGTGAAATGAAAAAAAAAAAACATTATGAGAGACGCATAAAAGATTTATTTAAAAAAAAAATTTGAAGCAAGAAAAACATTATAATTTTTTAAAAATAACTAAAATGTTAACTATTCATTTATTGAATAGCGAGACTAAGAATTGCCATGGATTATGACTCGTTAGCGTTGTGTTACTTGATTGTTTGCCTCTGGTTATTTGATTGTATCCTTTTTTGTATTGCATTTTGTTTGTTCAATCTAATGTATTTAGTTGATTATATTTTTATTTTTTTTTATCCGATGCATTTGTTTATTTGTTGAATTGGGTGTGTCCATTTGATATTTTTTGTCGAAAATGGTCTATTCATTTGGATATTGCACGTGGCATATTCCCCACCCTTTTTTGGCCTTATTTTTTTGTTTTGTCATTTGTTAGTTTTATTCTACTAGATTTGTGTCTTTTCATTATTCTTTTATGCTTGTCTTTGTAGTCTTTATAGCCAATTTATCATAATTTTGCTTTTCATTTCATATGAGGGTTAATACCGAGCACTA